ATATTTATAGAAAGAGCAACTCATGGCTCCTTACGCGTTAATGTCAAAAAGGCGGTTACAAGAAATTAGTGGGAAAACTGGATCCCGCTAAAAATATAGAAAATACATAAAGTCATAGGGGGTTCTTTTTTCCTCAATACAACTCCACCGAAAAAAGAAAAAAAAAGCTAAAACAAAGGGAAATGTAACCAAAATATACATGTATCAAACCAAAACCTATACCCAAAGAAGTGACTTATACCCTCTATGAACATGTATATCAAAGGAAGTGAAGGTAATAAAATTTGTAAGCCAACAAATGACATCTCGAGACCAGGAAGCCACAACAGGTCCCAATGATTCCAAAACCTACAACTCAAAAAGGCTGAGGAAACAATAAAGAAAGAATTAAACTAAGTGATTAGAATAGAAATAGTGGTCCACAATCTTCCAACCTCCCAACCAACATTGTCAGTTAAATCGGACCTATAATGCTCGCCTAAAATATGGAAATGCAGTAATAATTTGGAGCCATGGGCCTCCAAATAAGAAAGATCTTGCCCGTTAACAAAAACATGGTGAATATAGAGCATAAATTCTAGCCTCCATTCTTCAATCTTAACCGTAAGACCAGACCTATTACTGTACCTCCCAAGTGCCATATCTTCAATAACAAACCTCCCAACCATCATCACAAATAAAACAAAGGAGCCCTGGGCCTCCATGCTTAAGATATAACACCAAGCACTGTACCTCCCAAATGTCAAATCTCCAATCACAACCCCCCAACCCATAACCCGAAATAACCCCTAGCTCCACAACCACCAACACTAAGTCCAACAACCACCAACACTAAGTCCAAATAGGGAGCTCTGGGCCTCCCAAATAGATCAATACATATATGGAAAAGGAGTCCTGGACCTCCATGCGATAAAAAACCATACCCCACAAAAGTCAAAAGTATGAATAGCCATATCTCCAGAAAACCAAACCTCCAATGTGCCCGAAAATAAGTGAAGAAGAGAGAAATCCAGCCTAATGATATCTTGGGCCGATCCAAGCCACTCGACCACCCAAACTGATTCAAGAGGAAATAAATATTAAAGAGAAAAGGGTACAAATATGTTGTATGAGCGGGCCCAAAAAAACACCCAACCCACACGATACAACACACAAAAAAAGAAATACAAAAACCCAAAAAAAAATGGTACATATAAGATCAATCGGAATGACCCGATTTAGTTCTGCCCCTGACTCTTGTTCTCGGAAGGGAACCAACTAACAAATTGGTTAGATGCATACCATTGCCTGAAGTAATCAAAGTATCATCTATTAGATTCCTTAGTTCAAGTAGATCTCCATTCTTCTTCTTCCTCTGGAAGTGTTGACCTGTCATTCATCATCCAAAGATTATTGCTCATTTAGATGAGGTGGTAGTGCTGCAGTAGAAAGATTGTCAATAGTTGTACCCATAAGCGGTTCAAGTGTGTGTGAGATATGAGTTGTCGCCTCTACTCTTGATACTTCCTGAAAATGGGGAGCTGCAAGGTTTTCGTGATTATCAGTCCGTGTAGGTGAGGTCCTTCAATATTGTTTTCAATAGGGTTTTGCTCCGCAGGGTCATCCAGCTTCTCATCAATCGCAAAAACAATATTTTCAGGGGGAGGGTCCACAAGGGCAATTAAATCAGGCATCAAATCTTATCCTGTGGTAGTTTTCTCTCCAGGTGGAACAAATATGTCCAAAACAGTGGAGTTAGATCTATCCTTATTTACTTGATCTTTAGAATTCAAATTAGGATGAAACATATGACATTTATCAAGAATATTCCCAAATTTGTTACAATGAGAACAATAAGGAGGTCTATGCTCCATGTCGATTTGTTGTCAATATCCATTATGAGCTGTGTCCAACCAAACTTCAGTAACATCAGGTAAAGTAATATCTCTTTTCACAAGTATTCTAACCACATAATTTCTGGTTAGGTTGCAAGTTGGTAGATCTAGTTTCATAGAGTCCCAAGTATGACCCCAAAAGAGTAAAAAATCTGATGATGAAAAAAGTGCAGTTTGAGACCATATATACTAAACCATACCGGTACAGTAGGAGGTTCATGATTGAGGTCAAAATCAGGAGACCACTTGAGTAACTTCATTGATTTACCAGCAATGTTAAAATATTTTTTTGGAGAAAATTCGAGTATAATTTTCAACCATGGTTAATTGAATCAATACATGTCTTCCATCCATGAGCCCAACTTTTTACTTTCCTGCTAATTTGAGATCATCAAAACTTTTCCTGATAACTTCCATAGGTGGGTGCCCCCACGAAAATTTTCCAATAGGAGAAAACTTGAATTTCTCAGTCAGGGTTTAAATTTCTAACTCAGAGGAAAAAAAATGTTGTTTTCCCGCTTTCTCTACTTGCATTCTTAATTAAGGGGCAGTCACCTGTACCATCACGATACTTCTTATAACTTGTGGGGAAGACAACTGCCGTCTCCACGTGAGAATCACTCACCATGTGGGCAAATGAGGCTTTGGCAGGTTCAACCGAAGGAGAAGAAAGCTCCATCACAGCAAGGAAAAATCCTGCAAAGTCGGGCAGAGGGCAAAAATGATATGTCGAAGATGGTCAGGGCTAAGCCACATATATCGAAGTCGCGGAACAGTTGCAGCTCGACGAGGTCCATGAAGACAGACGAAGAGCCGCGCAGAAGAAATGAGCCACATAAAAGGGTGCCTCTACAAAGCTAAACGAAAACGACGCCGAAGCCCTTCGTTTTTGGGAAGGTCGAAATGATGGCGCGTAGGAGGAGACAACGTGCGCAAAAAGCCGAGGGAGAGAAGCCCTTCGTCATCGAGTACGAGAAGACCTTTGTCGTTAAGCACGACGGAAACACTGGATTGAAAGCTGAAGGATTCAAACCAGGGAATTGCCATCGGGCGAAATCCTAGTAGAGCAGCCCGCCACCGACGCCATCATATATATATATATATAATACACATAAACACACACACACATTTACTCTTCTGATTATTATGGTGTGTGTTTATGTGTATTATATATGTATAGACACACACACACACACACACACACACACACACATACATACAAAGCATATGTGGCACTAAATCAGGAAGTTGGGACTATTACCTTTAACAGAAACGAGGAGACGCTTATGTAGACTGCAAGCAAAGGTAAAGTCAACTGAATTTTAGAACCGAACCCTCAGTAGAGAGTGAGTTCAGTAGTTAATATATATGATACTAGGAATAAAGATTAGCACATTTGCAATATATCATCGAGAAAATGAATACCTTTGGATGGGTACCAGAATTGCCGAGTAAACAATTTAATAAAATGGGAAGAAATCTATTGGACAATCAACATCTCAGCCTTGAGCGAAGACTTTTGTTCTCGCAATACTTATAAAAGCCTATTTCTTAAAGCGTGTTTTCTGCATCTCGGCCTCTACATTTTAAACAGCTGGGATCAAAACGAGGGTGATCTTTTTGGCGAATAATGATTGTATTGGGAAAGCACACTAAGTATATCATGAGTGAAAAAGGCTTTTATCTACCAGAGTAAGAAGTAAGGAGTAAACAACATATAAAAGGGTACGGAATATATTGGACAATCAAGCGTCTTAGCTAAAACAAAGACTTTTGTTCTCACAAAACCTATTAAGAAAAAAACATTTTTTGAAGCAGTTTTCTGCATTTCTGCCTCTCCATTTCAATCAATAGGAATGAAAACAATTTTAGGAATGCATGTGCTCATGGAGAGAATTATTGTGGCGGATAATGCAATTGGAAAGCATATTAATTGTATCTTGAGTGAAATCGTGTTAGCTAATATCAAAAGCAGAACTCAATACTAGAAGGAACTCAGTGAGGGCGTCAGTAAAGCAGAGAGCTTTGTTAGCAAGGGTCAGCAGAACTGGGCTCACTTTATAGCTACCCTGGACATTATAGGATACTTGATTACTTTTGTATCTGAGAGCTTATGAGAATTGGAATGGGTTTGGATAGATGTGTCCAGATTTAAGGTAATACTGCTCACAGGTAATGTCCGAACATGACCAATTAACCAAACTACTCCCCACCAATTTAATTAACATAATTGGATGTGCACAACGTACGGTTGGCATTAAAACCTGTTGCGCCCGTGAATGGCTTCAAGCTTTTATCTCTGTTGTGGACTGGAACCTTTACGTGGTCAAAATCAACACATTAATTAGAAAAAGAGAAGAAGACAACAAATGGTTTTTCTTTGCTTTAGAAACATAAGTTTTGCTTCATTTCAATTTTTGCATGATGTAGTTACAGCTTGAACATCTTGTGAATGGTCGAGTCCAATCAATGCTTTAAATCTTAAATGCATATGCACTTAGGTAAAATTGTTAATTTTAGCTTAGATTCAAGGGATATGCCGTTTGTATTTACTTAATACATTTTGCAATCTCTAAAGTCTTTACTCTTCTGTCATGTTCCTTTTATTGATAAAGCCAACGCAGGTCACATGCTTGATCAGCTGCATAACTTTTAGTAGAATAGTGTTGGTTATCATAACTTAGTTTGGCTAGATTATGCTCTTGTGTCTATGAGTGAATGGCATGGCTATGTTTTTTTTCTGTTGAATTCAGGCAATTGTTGAAATAACTCTGATTAATATATGCCCTTGATTATTGTTGAAGTGATTTTACGTTATTGATGGTTTCTTTTTTCAGGTCAAAGGTATGATGACTGACTTTGGAGAGGGGATGCATTGCCAGTTTCTTGAAATCATGCGCATTTTGGTAGATTCTTACTCTATTTCAGGATCACAGGTATTTTCAATTTATATATTTTAAAACTGATTTAATTTTCTGAATGCCAAGTGAAATTATTGTTTGCGATGTTTCTCCATGAAATCGAGGGGTTGTATTAGACAAAACATGGCTATAAGTGCAAAAATAAATTATGTGAAATAAAGTTACTATCTCATTAACACTCTTCAGGAATTGATGAGGCGTGGGAATTCTTTCAATGGTTTTATTTTGAGTAGATCTTCAGTTTTCTTTTATTAGGTCTCCTCAAAGTCTTGCAATTTTTTCTACAGTGTTTAAAACTATCACTTCCATTAACAGTTTGGGCAAGTTATCTTTTTTTATATTTTTTCTTAATGCTCCTGATACTTGTATATTTTTCCTAATGTTGCAACTTATCAGGCTCTGTTAATATAATTGTTTGAACCATTCATTTTTACCGTCGCATTATAAAAAATAAGTTGAGGAGGCTTTAAAGAAAACCAAGGGTGGAAAGTCTGTAGGACTTGATGATATCCCAATTGATGTATAGAAATGTTTAGGAGATTTGAGTGTTTCTTGGCTTACTAAACTCTTTCATATTATTTTAAAAACTAAAAAGATGCCTGAGGACTGGAGGAAGAGTGTTTTGGTCCCCATTTTTAAGAATAAAGGGGAAGCACAAGAGTTTGCAAATTATAGAGGAATTAAGTTGATGTGTCATATTTTAAAATTATGGGAGAGGGTAATTGAACATAGGTTAAGACGTATTACAAAGATTTCTCATAATCAATTTAGATTTATGTCGGGCAGGTCTACCATGGAAGCTATACATTTATTGAGAAGTTTGATGGAGAAGGTCAGAGATAATAACGAGAATCTACATTTTATTTTTATTGATTTAGAAAAAGCTTATGATAAGGTTTCAAGAGATATCCTTTGGAGAGTTCTTTTGAGGAAAGGTGTTGATATGATTTATACTCAAGGCTTTAAAGATATGTATACTAGAGCTGTTACTTGTGTTTGAACTGAAGGAGGATTGACCAAATATTTTCCTATTTTTGTTAGATTACATCAGGGATCGACTTTAAGCCCATATCTTTTTTGCTTTAGTTATGAATGGTCTTACTGGACATTTACAGGAGGATGTACCTTGGTGTATGCTTTTTGCTGATGTTATTCTTCTCGTGGATAAGACGGGAGAAAAAGCCCGGAAAAACTTGGAACTATGGAGGTCTTAATTGGAGTCTAAAGGCCTTCATTTGAGTAGAACTAAAACTGAATACATGGAATGTAATTTTAGTAGTAGTAGCTCTAGTGACAGAAGTGTAACTTTGGGTGATCAAATTATTAAAAGGTGTTAATGATTTAGATATCTCGGGTTTGTTGTTCAAAGCACTGGTGATATAGATGGGGATGTTAATATTAAAAATCAAGTTGGTTGGTTGAAGTTGAGGAATGCGGGCCGTTTGTTTGATTGAAAAGAACCGCTTAGACTGAAAGGAAAATTTATGAGACGATGGTGAAACTTGCAATGCTTTATGGAGCTGAATGTTAGCCTTTAAAAGGGAAGCATAATACTAAGTTAAGTGTTGTTGAGATGAGAATGATTAGGCGGATGAGTGAATGAGTTAGGCGGATGAGTGACTTTACACTTAGAGACAAAATGCAAAATGAATATATCCGTGATATTGCTCCTGTGACGGACAAAATTAGAGAATGTTGTCTTAGATAGTTTGGTCACATTAAACGTTGACCATCTGATGATCCGATTAGGAGAGTAGATGTTTTAGGTTCGACTTATGTTAAGAAAGGCAGAGGTGGACCTAGGACCTATAATTTATTAGAACTAAATGAAAATATGACATTAAATAGGACGCAATGGAGAAAAAAGATTAATGTAGCCGACCCCACGTAGTGGGATTAAGGCTTTGTTGTTGTTTTTGTTGATATTCTTATTTCTTTTTTTTATTTTTAAACTCATAAATCAACTTTTTTGTTACTTGTGGATTATTTGTAACCTTAAACCCTAATTTCATATAAAGAGCATTCGACAGGGACACATTGCATATTAGTTGATTTTGATGATATATCCTGCTATGAATAATTCTTAGATTGCCTTTGTTGTAACTTGGACATCATGTGTTTGAATCGTAGAAATAGCCTCCTTTTAATGCATATGTAAGCTTGCTCACGTTAACTTAGTTTTCCAGAGCCTTAAGTGCTAGTTATACCCCTTTTTAATGCATTTTTACTTTAATGCATCCGTAATATTCTCTAAAATGAATTCCATTAAGTCATTAACTTGTTCTTGATTAAGAGGCCTGAACACTGGAACCAAAGTTGAGCCCATTGTACTAGTACGAGCCCTATCAAAGCTTAAGCTGCTATGACTCAACACGAGGGCTTGAAATTTTAAGGTGAGAATAAACAGTCAGACGGTAAAATTCAAATTTAATTATTTCTACTATTACTTATTATTTATCATCTAAAAATTTGAGAGAATCACTGACAACATAAAATTTAAATTGAATTAAATGTAGAATAGTCAAAAATATAATTATTTTTCTCTCTTTTAGCCATGTCTTTTATGAGCATTTTTTCTTCTGTCGCTAATTTCCTAACACTGAACTTCCTGAAAAATATTAATTTAATTTCACAGTGAGTTGTCAACAACTAACTCAGTGAATACTGATATTATTTAAATTATATTAGCATGTGTGAATAAAAAAAAATCACGTGCATGCTAGTCATATACAGTGAATCAGTAAAAGATCGTTTATCAATTTATAGATTCAAAGATGATCATTCAAGAGATTATGTTATACGCTATTTTATCTAAACTATACATATTCTATCAGTAATTGGAGCGTTGCCTAAATTGTAGCAATTACGGTATGTAAACATCATTATCTTTTGTAGTTTGCGTGCATGTGCAGCTTAGCATCTCATATAATACCATAAAATGCTTAATTTTATCAATCAACAGGCCCATGCAAACATACTATATAAATTATTTTACTTGCATTGTCATGCCATTTAATATCTTTTCATTAAAATCAATATTTGTAATAAGTAAATATAATATAAATATCTGGAACGTTCATTTCAATATGGTCACTTCGACCAGTAGAGCAAAATACTCATATTTAACTTGCAGTGTTAAGATATCTAACAATTATCAGTCTAATGCAATTGGTTTAGAAGAATTTAATATTATCAGTGTAATTTAGAAATAAAAGTACCACCTTCAAATAATTTTACTTGATTTGAGTTTTCTTACTCCTTTCGAGTTTGTCTCATAGAATTTGACAGCTATAATAGCTTATAAATATAAATTTTAATCATATTATTTAATTATGCTTAATTAATTTTTAATTAATTATTTGAAATCTTTTTAAGTTTACATAGTAGTTTACTAGATTATTGAAGTTACAACTTTTATAAAAAAATATTTAACTTGCATAAAATTTTTCCTTAACTTTGTTTTCTTATTTAGTATAAAACTTATTTAATTTATCTAACACAATATTTAGTTTTTACCAACTGTTATTCCAATTGTTGCAGATTGTTATGACTGTACTATTAAAATTTTATTTATTTCAATCATACTCTTATTTTAAAAATAATTTTCAATTATCTTCTATGTACATATGAGTTTGTGAGTAATCAAATTTCATCATTTAGAAAGTTTTTCTTGGAACATAACAATCAAATTATGTTCAATCATATTTTGTTTCGACAATTGCTAATAATATTTTAAACTTCAATAAAACCTTAGTATCACATTGTTTAATATCTCTGTAAACAATTTAAATAGCTGAAACCTTATTGTTATTTACTTTTTAATTAAATATATATCATTGTATTAGGATTTTTCTTCCAACATCTCAATATTGAATATATGAAGACAATTTTTTATTTATGATTTGTATAAAAAATTATTATACTTAATTTTCTCAATTTTCTATTTTGTTTCATTTATATCTCCAAATGTGAAAATAAATAAAGATTATCTTCATAAGAGAAATCTCCTTAGGTAGGCTTAGCTCTTAAGTTTGATCAACTCGGTACAATGCAAACCCCTCAATCACGTGCTCATCTTCTTCGTCTTCCTCTCCGCATGCGCTCTAGCTGGTTTCGAATTCACGTGTTCCAACTGCCCTCTACTTCTCGCATGAGTTCACATGTCTGTGCTTGTTACACACTAAAATGGTCAATCCCTTCTCTCTAAACTCGGCCTTGCTCGCACAAGTTCATCCATCAGCTTCGTTCATCTCACATGACTGCTTGAGGTTTTGGTATATTTGATGCACGTTGTCACTTCCTTTGTGGTCTCGCTTTAAATCGCATGATGCTAGTGTTGCTCTTACTTGTTTTTTTACCTCAGTCTCGATGCCTCTTTTTTTATTTGACCACTTGCACACCCTTTCTCTTCTCTTTGTTTGCATTCCTATAGGCTTTGTTTCTGTATCCTCTTAATAACGAAGAACCAACTCACTCTATTTGCTTCGACTTCCTCCCTTTGTTTTCTTCTAGCGAACTCTATCTCTCTCATCTCTTTAAATTTGCATAGTGCGACCCCTTCCTCTGCTTGCTTAGCCTCCCTATCTGTCTCATACCCTTCATCTTCGCATCTATTGTTTAATTCGATGAACTCGTTTGCGCCAGTTTCATCTAGCTATAGTTGCCGGTTCCATATTAATTATTATTATTTTTCATGTTACCTAAGCGGTGCTGAGGCCCTCTATTAGTATGTTAGAAATTACGTCCTATTTCACTTCCAATGTGCCCCTATTTTTTTACTCTTACAAGCACCTCAACAATGCCCTTATTACATTTGATTTTTATACATTGTCCTTCACATCCCTGCAATAAAATTCCTTTTGCGCCATCAAATATTATGCACCAAGTGGTCCATTAAACCAAATGGAACCTGTGTGAGAGTTTTTCACTTCTTAATTTTTGCTAATCAGGATAGCATCCACCATGTGCCATGCATGCCACAAGCTTTATGAAACACTTGATATTTGTTGATCCAT